GAGAAAGGTCTTTGGAGAGGGACAGCGCAGGAGGGGAAGACCCTCTATGAGGTGGATTGATTCAGTGACTGGGGTAATCGGGATGGGTGTGTCAGAGGCCATGCGATTGGCACAGGATAGAGCAGGGTTTGTACATAGGGTCGCTATGAGTCGCAATAGGGTCACAAATGACTCAACGGCACATAACAACAAACAACAAGAGAATAGGGGTGAGGCATGGGGTGCGGATTGTAAAGATGTTTTCTCTCTGTAGGACAGGACTCAGGGATCTTTTGTTTATAGCCATGGACTCAGAGCTGGATGGGGAATGACAGGCAGGGAGGGCTGGGGTACAGATAGGCCAGACTGGGACTGCAGGAGTTTTGCTACATCTTGGCGTTGGTAGAAGAGGACATATACTGCCTTGGACTGGAGAGAGAATGAATACAGGAGTCAGTGTGGATTGGGAGGTAGGTGCAGCATCAGAAGGCAAGAATGGAAGAAAAGAGTTTAGAAATTATACCTCAATCTCATCATCAGTCACTGGTGAGACACTGTTATCATCAAAATAGTGCCACTGGCTGTTGTCCTTGTTGCAAGCAAATGTTGTGTCTATAAGAAAAAGGAGAGATGTCCACATTTATCTTCATGCCCCTAAGATTCACTCTTAATCCTCCCACTTTGACACTCACTGGCTCATACATGTAATTCACCCATTGGGGACATCCTCATCCTCCTAAAAAACGAGACACACACCCCCACCCAGGGAACCCCATGCCAATATGTGGCCTGGCACATACAGTGTCCATCACGCAAGCCTCCATAATGGTTTGAAACTGAGATGAGGTCATACTTGCACAGCTCTGGATCTGACTCTTTGGTTTGATAACAAATTCTGAGAGGTCCAAGTCTCTGAGGTGGTGGTGGTTGTTGTTGTTGTTGTTGTTGTTATGTGCCGTCAAGTCGCTTGCGACTCATAGCAACCCTGTGTACGACAGCCCTAAACTCCACTCTGTCCTGTGCCAATCACACTGTCTCTGACACTCCCGTCCCTATTATCCCAGTCACTGAATCAATCCACCACATAGAGGGCCTTCCTCTCCTGCGCCGTCCCTCTACCCTCCCAAGCATGATGACCCTCTCTAAGGACCGGTCTCTCCACACAACATGTCCAAAGTATGTTAGACGGAGCCTCAGAATCCTTGCCTCCAAGGAGCCACCCGGTTTAACCCTTTCCAGGACAAATCTGTTTG